TGTCATAGTCTGAAGGAGCAGGACCTGCGCTGGTGAGCTGGGAGAGCAGGACGCAGCAACACAACAGCGTCACCCAACACTTGACTGCGCTCACGCCCATCACCTGCAACACATGGTAATGTTATCCTCACGCCCACACCTGCAACACATGGTAATGTTATCCTCACGCCCACACCTGCAACACATGGTAATGTTATCCTCACGCCCACACCTGCAACACATCAACATAACAGTCCCTGCAACACACACTAACAATCACTACCCAAGACAAGACTGATATTGAAACAGTCGGTGCAGACAGACGGAGATTCAATCAGCGCCGCTCCTGTGCCAGGTAAGTCCACTACGGGCTCACCATAGCCCGTGCTACTTGCCCCGCTCCTGTGCCAGGTAAGTCCACTACGGGCTCACCATAGCCCGTGCTACTTGCCCCGCTCCTGTGCCAGGTAAGTCCACTACGGGCTCACCATAGCCCGTGCTACTTGCCCCGCTCCTGTGCCAGGTAAGTCCACTACGGGCTCACCATAGCCCGTGCTACTTGCCCGCTCCTGTGCCAGGTAAGTCCACTACGGGCTCACCATAGCCCGTGCTACTTGCCCCGCTCCTGTGCCAGGTAAGTCCACTACGGGCTCACCATAGCCCGTGCTACTTGCCCCGCTCCTGTGCCAGGTAAGTCCACTACGGGCTCACCATAGCCCGTGCTACTTGCCCCGCTCCTGTGCCAGGTAAGTCCACTACGGGCTCACCATAGCCCGTGCTACTTGCCCCGCTCCTGTGCCTGGTAAGTCCACTACGGGCTCACCATAGACCGTGCTACTTGGAACTTGTTCCGAATACCTGAATCTATAACAACAACAATGCAGACGGATGAAGAAAGGAAGACCGCGAAAATTTGAGACAAAGCTCCTGGACTCCGGCTCGAAAGCCCAACGTTGACACGGGTCCAGCAGGAAAAAAAAAACTTTGTCGGTGTCTCTAGTTGCCACTTCGTAAAAAATGTAACTGTTTTATCTCAGCAGTTACGAACAGCTCAAAGCAACACACTTATCCTATGGAGGCCGATATGCAGGAAGCCTCAATATTACGGTTATCTTGAGATGATTTCGGGGCTTTAGTGTCCCTGCGGCCCGGTCCTCGACCAGGCCTCCACCCCCAGGAAGCAGCCCGTGACAGCTGACTAACACCCAGGTACCTATTTTACTGCTAGGTAACACGGGCATAAGGTGAAAGAAACTCTGCCCATTGTTTCTCGCCGGCGCCCAGGACCACAGGATCACAAGTCCAGCGTGCTGTCCGCTCGGCCGACAGGCTCCTGTGCTGTAATGTTTAGCAATACGTTGCAATTTTAACGTAAAATATGCAACATTATAAGTGAGAGGACGAGTTGAGGAAACTGCAAAACGTCTTAATCGACAAGAAAGTCGATTAAGAATATGTGAACACTGTTTTATTAACAATGAAATCACGAGAAGGTGATGTGTTAAAAAAAATACTGAGGCAGTAAAATGGGATCGAACCCCCGTCCGTAAACACCCGAGGCACACGCACCACCAACTGGAGGGTTCAGTTGGTACTGTGTATGCATGGCAACTCCAGGGATGCGTGTTCGATCCCATAATACTGCCTCAATATTTTCTCGATTTTGTTTTATTATTAACCGGCTGAGGTCGGGAGTTGACTGTCGCTACACTATGTGTCGGGGGTCGTGGAGGACAGGTCAACAGGTAACTAGAAGTTCAGGTAATATCCCAGCCTCGACACACAGCCTCGCTCCTGTGCCAGGTAAGTCCACTACGGGCTCACCATACCCCGTGCTACTTGGAACTTTTTGTTCCCAGTAGCTGAATCTTAAACACCAACAACCACCAGCCTAGAGCCACGAGTGGATGTACATGGACAAGCAGGGGAGTGTGATCCACTTGGCCGCGCTAACACAGTGCTGTTTGTTGACCACACCACACACTAGAAAATGAAGGGACGACGACGTTTTGGTCCGCCCCTATCCTTAATTTCATTAAATGTTCCTTTACTGTTACTTTTCTCCTGATGTGGCTGTGCAGCAATTTAGGTTGAGTCTTTGCCTTGCTTGCTATGTCATTTTCGTATTGTCTTTCTGCCTCTCTTCTCATCCTGACATATTCATTCCTGGCACTCAGGTATCTTTCTCTGCTCTCAAGTGTCCTGTTATTTTTATAGTTTTTCCACGCCCTTTTATTTTGCTGCTTATCTAGCCTACATCTCTGATTAAACCATGGGTTTCTCATCTTCATTTGTGTGTGTGTGTGTGTGTGTGTGTGTGTGTGTGTGTGTGTGTGTGTGAGAGAGAGAGAGAGAGTGAGAGAGTGGGAGAGAGAGAGAGGTGGAAGTATCAGAAGCAGCAGGTAGACCAACTTGAAGCAGCAGGTAGACGTAACACCACCACCCTCTTAACACCATCTCATGCCTCCCCAAATCCTATATGATAACGTCTCCAGATTCCATCGTCCCCCGATTCTTCCTCCGAAATGGAAACCTTTTGAATGCCCATTTTTTAAAGGCGTTTCTCTCCGGCTTCACGAAGAAGCGGATAACTGGGTTGCAATCACTCTCCCTGCCGCAAGATGCAACACGGAGCACTTGCAAGCCCCTACGTCAAGTCTCAAGATGCCGCTCACATTCTCCCGCCAGCATCTCCCACGAACAGGGAGAGGAACCAACCAGTTGGTATGATAAAAATGGAGTAATGAGATTATGTGATAAGGAAGGAAGGGGTGTAACAAGGGTCCGAGAGGCTTAGACGAGGAGGAGGAGGAGCACATGGAACAGGGGACGCCTACTGGGCGCTAACAAGCAAGAGGACTGGACCCAAGATGATGTGAGTGAGAGAGATGGGGAATGCAGACGAGACGATGGCAAACGATCGGAATCAACGATAATGGCTAAAATAAAGAAAAAAGAGAAGATAACACAACAATTACCTCTCCTCCTCCTTCCCCTCTTACTCCTCTACCTCTCTAGTAAAGGCTCTTATCATCCTCTTTACCTACTTCCCTTATCTCCGTTCCTGCTATTCTATCTCCCTTTCTTGGTCATGTTATCTTCCTCTGCCTCTCTCACTCTCCACTCTATTTCTCTGTTTCATCATCTCTCAAGTCTCATTTTCCTTGACTTCATTTTCCAGTCTATGTTTTTCTTCTCTCTGTCTCTCTATAGCTGTCTGTACGAGTCTCCTGTCATTCAGCAGGCGAGGACAGCGGAGAGAGAGAGAGAGAGAGAGAGAGAGAGAGAGAGAGAGAGAGAGAGAGAGAGAGAGAGAGAGAGAGAGAGAGAGAGAGAGAGAGAGAGAGAGAGAGAGAGAGAGAGAGAGAGAGGGGCGGGGGAGAAACAACCTATAACACAAGTGACAATAACAGACTGAATTTTCCACCTTAAGACAAACCTCTGACGCCCACACCTCCTCTGGAAACAAAAGCTCTCTTAACAAGTTCCCGACCAAACAACAGCCGCTGAGAAAGATCATCGTTAAGTCGGGAAGCCAGTTGAAGCGCTCTTCACCGCCCCTAACAAGCCTCTCCCAGCTTGTGGAGAGCGAGAACACTCCCTCACCTGCACTGACCTGCTCTCACCTCACTTTGGTGGAGGGTGGTGGAGAGAGGAGGAGAGGGGGGGATATTGTAGGAGGGCTGTAGAGGGGTAGGAGGGAAGTAGAGAGGGAGCAGGAGGGAAAAAGAAGAAGAGGGGGTAGAAGGAGAGTAAAGAGAGAGAGTAAGGAGTAATGCGGGAGACAGGTTGAGGAAATAGGGAATTTGTGGAATTTGGAGCCCAATAATGGGTGAAAATGAATGCAGATTTTCCAACTTTAACTGTGGGTTTGCCCCTGTTTAAAATAGGTAATTGGGTCAATGGTGGTGGCGTTGGGTCAAAGGTCATCGTTGCCGTGACAGTGTCAGTCAGAATGTCACATGAGGTAACAGCCTCAAAACTGGTACCAAGCTAATATCATTGACCACATATACACAGAGGAACCACAGTACCTCAATGTAACATTGAGATAATCAGATTTTCTCAATAGTAGTAATAATAATAATATGTGAACTACGGATAAGATCTTTAATATATCTCATTCAGCTCTCAATCGGGCTATTACTGCTGCTCTACTTTCTCCTCCACCCTTTCACTCCTTCCCAATCCTTTACCCACCCAAACCCTACCCATCCCTGCCTCAGGTCATCCTGAGGCAGGATGACCTGCCACACTTGTATCGGACACGTATCATGCACTCTTTCTCATGTTCACCTCAGGTCTTGGACGGGACAGAATGATTCACCTTCGACTCCTACCATTTTGTTAATTACACCGCCACATACACACACACACACACACACACACACACACACACACACACACACACACACACACACACACAGTCTTTGACTTTATGGAGATCCTTTGGATTCTGAGTCTTTGGCTTTACGAAGCCTTTTGGGGCCATCTTCGTGCGTCTGAATTCCTGTCACCGAGTCTTGTGTCGGGAAATGAACTGAGGCCATTAGGAAAGTGGATCAATTTTTCTAAGGTTATTGGAGTGAGCTGTGTGGTGGGTGGGGGGGGAGGCCTGGGCGAGGGGCTACAAGGGAGTCTTATTGGTTGCCGATATTTGTTAGGTTTGTTTGGGCGGCCTGGGTGGTTGTGGTGTGGGTGGTGGTGGTGTGGGTAGTTGTGGTGAGGGGGGTTGTGGTGTGGTGGTGGTGTGGGTGGTGGTGGTGTGGTGGTGGTGGTGGTATGGGTGGTGTGTAGGTGGTTGTGGTGTGGGTGGTTGTGGTGTGGGTGGTGGTGTGGGTGGTGGTGTGGGTGATTGTGGTGTGGGTGGTTGTGGTGTGGGTGGTTGTGGTGTGGGTGGTGGTGTGGGTGATTGTGGTGTGGGTGGTGGTGATGTTAGTGTTAGGGATGAGGGACCCTTACACATTCGAACATAACCTTTCTCATGTCTTCTCATTTCTTTCTTTCTCATATTTTTACAAGACATACACAAAAGCACAATGTAAATTTTTTCCAGATGTTCACATTAACTAAATCACATCAGAGTTGTATGTAAACTTGTCAGAAAAGTGTATAAGGAGT